GCTTATTAGCTTTCAGCCACCCACTATCAGCAAAACATAGCTTTTGTCAGAGATAGAAGGTAGCTTGAAAAATTAAACACCTGTATGTTGGTATGGATGACATTTATCATTTGGGTATCCAAAGCAGTGGTTCCCAACCCCAAATGATCATTGAAATTCACCATACCCCCTCCCCACAAGATTTTGTTTCAGTAGGTCCAGGGTGGAGCCTAGGAATATGGGTTTTTTCCAATGTACATAGATGGTTTTGATGATGAACCAAATTTATCTGATATAGACAAGTAGTTACTTTATAGTTCTTTTTCAGTTTAACCTAATTTAATGAGTTCTGATACGTTAACGTAGTCAGTGAGAAAAAAATGTAGTTTTCCTTCCGTCTATTCCAGGGCCTGGTTGTTTGCCCTATGGTACAATGAATGCCACTGTGGAAGAGTTGTCTTTTCTCATCAGAGCTTGAACAGAGCTGTATATGCCAAATGTCCCAGAGCATCAGATGTCCCCTTCACCTAGACAGCTCATTTTTCAGTAGTAGGCCGGGATTAAACAAGGTAACTACATGGAGTGCACCAATGAATAAGCAGGGGAGAACAGATTATTGAGTCTCTGGTAGGGCTTGAATTGTCAGTCCAATTTCTAAGTATAGTTGTTCCTCGGGTTATGCAGTTATCCAACGTACAGCAATCCTTAGCTCTGCAGAGCAGCTGCAGACCCAGAAAATGGGGGAAAGCCAGGACTTGCAGAGAACAGTGATGGCTCCGAGGAAGGGCAGAGTCATGGAAAGACAGTGCTCCCTGGAACTCCCCAGGGATGGTGGGGTGGGAGTGGGGGTGGGGTGGTCAGTGGCCGGTGGAGCTTTGAACCTCTTCAGCTGGAACAGCTCTAGCTTTATCTATTATTGAGCTTCCTTTGTAGAAAGGATTCCAATGCTTGAAAAGAAAAAGGCTAAAGACCAATTCAGAGCACTTCTGATGAGAAGCTTATAGCCCAAAAATGTGCCCGAGGTCACACAGCTATTAGTGGTAGGAGCCAAGACTAGAAATAAGGTCTCCTTTTTCCAATAAGAAGACTATACCTTCCTGAGCCCCAGTAAGTGACAGAGTGGTATGGGAACTATCCTTGAAAAATCAAGTTGTGGACTAGCATATTGTTCCAATTGACTGTAACGATTCTGAGTTAACATGAACTCATTGAGTCATGCTGGCTATGGTTATAAAGACAGGGAAGTGTGTACCATGGTTTTACACCCTCAGCTTTTAGTTCTGTGTATCATTCACCTCTGTAGGATACTTCATCTTCTGACCATGCTGGATAACTGATGCTCTACTATTCACTGTCCATCCCGTTTTCAGCCTAAGAGATACAAAGAGAATCTGGAATTAGATTCTGTGTTAAATCAGTAGCCAGTGAACTGGTGCTTATAATTGAAAAGTGTTAAATGGATGGCCCTACCAATCAGCAGACTGTTGTCCAAAGAACATTTTAACTAAGTGACAGAATAAATTACGTTATATTTAGATTGCATTATGCTTTTCTTGTAAAGATTGATTTCTCGTTGTACCTTAGATATATTTGTGAAACTTGTTGCAGAATATTTGACTACTTGAATTCAACAGAAGATACCACATATTTTTCTTTTTAGACATTTATGGCAATTTCATTCTCTAAGAATAGATAGAGAAGTAGGTAGTCATCCCTAGCCAGACTTTTTACCTTTTGGGAAAAAAAAAATCAATTTACTTAAAAATTATGAGCAATATTAAACTGTCATTGGTGATCATCAGAAATCTGGGAGCTCAAGTTTCAGAAGTCTTATTAGGTGGATATGCTTTCTTCAGTGAGGGTTATGTTTTATTTAAATTCTCTGCCTACCATTGGAGTTATAAAGGTCTCTTGGCTTCAGATATCTTTTCCCTAAAGGGCCTTGTAGCTGCCTGTCTTGCTCTGCCTATCTGGAGATAAGTGCTGCTGTTTCTTGCCTTATGTCCAGATGGGCCTGAAAATTCAGACTGTAGTCACAGTCACTTCTATACTAGGAATGCATATTATTTGTATCCCAGGACAGCACTCAGTCTGCCTTGCCATTTGATATTATGATCTATAAATGAGTGCAAAATTCCATATATGACTCCTTTGGGCATTTGAACTGTTAAAGCCATTTATAGTAGAACTTTTCATGTAAGTCTCTCATCTGCAGTTTGACTACATAATCAGCTTTTCACCTAGGTTCCATTTTCTATTTCTTTATTGTCACATCATTTAATAGTATGCTATCAAGGAAGCAAGATTTGTGGCTACTAACAACTGTCACATTATTTCCTCCTTACTTAGCTGTTTAGTAAAGAGGAAGAAATTTGATACTTAAATATGAGGTGAAATTGATTTTTGTTCTTATAGGTCCTGTCCCTGCTATCAATGGAGCACTGAAGAAAACAGGACTAAATCTTAAGGATATGGATTTGGTAGAGGTAAGTGTTCTACTTTTTTACAGTATGAATAAACCACCAACTTCTGTAGCATAAATCGTATTAGTTTGGTGTTTTTTAGCTCTCTTGTTTTAGTACTGTAAACCTTTCCAAATGATGTACATCTAAATAAGTATTACTTTCATTACATGCCTTGTGTTGGTACTTTTCCCTACCTGATTAAAATGCTTTATTTTGAATAATTAAAACAGCCTGATTTCTCTCACTAAAGTATAAATTCCTGGAAACTTCTTAGGACCTTATAAGACTCTATTACATTTTAGACTATTAATGTACTTGTTGAATTGAATTGAATATTATATAAAGTGGGTGAGAAATAAGTAACTTGAACTCTGTTTTATCCATTAAAGTGAAAAAATACAAGTAAAAGAATTGACCTAATAGGAAAACCATATCTGGTGCCAAATCTAGAAGTTTGTTGCCCTCCCCGCAAGTTAACCACCCCCACAACTTATCCTTTTACGCTGTAGTTGTGGCTTGATTTGGGATGCACCTATCCTAATTTTTGGCATTGGACACTTAAATTTATTGGTAGAGTGATTTTTTTTAAATGTTAGTTTAGAACAAAGGCATCTTAAGTATTTAGCACAATAACAAGAAGGGGTGGAGAAGAAAATACTTGAAGATGGATTATATACATTCTGCATTTGGGGAGTATTTGAAAATTTTAGGTAATTAAGCATATGCTGCTTGACATTGGGAAATAACTAATACAACAAAGGAAATCGTTCTATTTAAATTGATAGTGAAGGGGCCTTTTCACTCTAGGCACATATGTGATTTCCTCTGTGGTAATCTCTCACCCAGGAAACCATGGTTTCAGACAAATGGTTTATCCTTAAATCTCTTCTTCCATTCTTAGGCAATCAACAGTTCAGAGCCTTAAGGGGGCTGTTTAATTACCATATTTGTATTAGCAAACAGGACCACGAAATTTCTGACTTTAGATTTCACACTTAAAACTCTATTGAAATATATCAGCTCTACAGAGCTGCTCATAATCTTCTATAGATGTATAAATAGTCAGGGACATAGCTCTCAACACCCTGATATGATTGTCAGGGACGTTTGATGATCACGCAGTGGTTTTTCCTAGGTTCAAAAGCCTAGTTTCACAGCATATTCTAGGTCTCTTAGAACCTCCTTGAGCATGACTATATAAAATGGAAAAATAACGTTGGATGTAAGGACAAATAAGGCACCGTCTTGGGAGAACACAAATATAATAGCAAAGAACACAGAACTGGATTTTGATCCCAACTCTGTACAAGTTACCTTTCTTAAAATCAGTTTTCTTTTCTATAAAATTCCCTAGCTAAGATCCTATGAAAATACAGTGCTATAAACTTGAGGTAAGGTAATCCTCATAGCCAGCCTTGTTAAGTATAATACAACAGTTATGATACTTTTCACTTCTGCCACATTTCAGCATAGTAACCATTCCTCTTATGTATCTGGCTGTGAAGATTTCTTCTTTGTTGTCCATCAGTCTCTTCTTGGAAGTATGGCTATTAGTACTGGGTAGTAATAATAATAGTAGCAACCATTTCTTGAGTACTTGCTATGTGTCAGGTAATACATGAGATACTTAATACCCATGATTTCATTTAACCTTGACAATAACTCTTAGGATGATACTACAGTCACATTTTACTGTTGAGGAACCTTGAGTGTTGAGAGAGTTTAAAGAACATGCATACAGCCAAAATTTGAACCGTCCATCTAGCTCCAGAACCTGTGGGCTTTCTACAGTATCCCACTGCCTCTAGTAGGTTTCCATTTATAATATCACTGAGGATTTGTTGTCTCTAAGGGATGCATTTGACTTAAAGTATTATTTAGTAAATAAACCCATTTTCAAACCTGCTATCTTTACAAAGAATGATTGAAGATAAAATAACCTTTCAAGGTAATTTAAATAGGAAAAAAAACAGCAAAATTAGCTCTCAATAGGACTAGACAGTTCTCAGTTAAAAATCATTTTGTGAATAAGGATTTTTTTAATCAGCGTTTCGATTGTTTTTAAGGTGAATGAAGCTTTTGCTCCCCAGTACTTGGCAGTTGAGAAGAGTTTGGATCTTGACCCAAGTAAAACCAATGTGAACGGAGGAGCCATTGCTTTGGGTCACCCATTGGGAGGATCTGGAGCAAGAATTACTGCACACCTGGTTCATGAATTACGGTACTTGCTAGAAATGGTTCCATTTCAGATTTGCCTTCTTTTGTAGAAATGCATGGGGATAGGTTTCCCCAGAACAATCTAACATTTTTCATTCTTTCTCAGATCACCCAGCACTGCTTCTCACCAGGAACAAGTTTTTGGGCACCCCCTTTCAGCTGGCCTTATAGATGACTTAGTTGACTCGTTAGGGGCTCTGCTCTTGGGTCGAGAGCTCTTGCTCACATGTGTTGTGTGTTCACTATAGCCATCAGCACCTGTTCACTGAGGGGCCAGCAGGCGTCTGGCCCCATCCCTGGTGCTGGTGCACAGCAGTGAGCAGATAATGAGGCCCTGGTTCTCCTGGCCTGTGCACTCTAGTGCCAGTTACAGGAGTAAGATAAAGTTATTTAAGAAAACAAACAAAAAACTGAGAGGGTTCTGATCTAGATGCCGTCATTTAAGAAACCTAAGCAAACTGACAATGAGTCTGGGCTAAGTTTTTCCTTCACTGTTTCCAGGGTTCCAGGAGGAGCCTTCTGTGTGTTTGATACTTTTCAGTTTTGATAGAAGAGCTCTTCCTTCTGGTACTGTGTATTTTGGACCATTGTGCTCTGTTAGGAGAATTGCAAACGACACCAAATATGTCAGCCCAAAAAATCAGTGACTCCTTGTTAGATTAAAGTAAATGGGACTCTTATTTCACTTAATGATTCAGTGAGTTGAAATGAGTGATTGACATGCACAAAAATAACTCCTGAGTGGTTTTCTCGAGGTCATTCTATCAGGACTGAGGAATGAGAACAGGTGGTACTATACCAAAGGAGTCTAATTTTCATGAAAGGGACATGAAATGTTCCTAAAGTATCTGCCCTTTCACATGGACAACTTCACTAACTGCACTTATCTAAGGTGCCATAAAAATCTAAAACCATATAAATCAGAGGGGCTTAATGTTTATACTCCCCCTTCCTCAACTTCTTGTTTATCTCAGTTACATCCTATCCTCACTCCTTTCTCACAGCACACCTGAACTTGTGTATTTGTTTCAGCTTCCCTCTTCTGTGTTACTACCTTTTCTCTTTTTTTTTTTTTTGGGTCAGGAAGATTGGCCCTGGGCTAACATCTGTGGCCAATCCTTCTCTTTTTGCTTGAGGAAGATTGTCCCTGAGCTAGCGTCTGTGCCGGTCTTCCTCTGTTTTGCATGTGGGTCACTGCCACAACATGGCTTGATAAGCAGTTTGTAGGTCTGCACCCAGGATCCAAACCCGTGAACCCCTCAGGCCGCCGAAGCGGAGCACGTGAACTTAACCACTATGCTACCAGGCTGGCCCCTACCTTTTTTTTAATGTTAATATTTTTTTTAATATTTAGCTTTCCAAATGCTTTCTCCTATTGTGACTATAAACCAACATTCAGGTTTGGGGAAAAGATTGAGACAATGAGGTGAATAAGAATGCGTAACACAAATGTGATCATTATTAATTCTATTTAATAATTATCTAATTAATTCTGTTAATTCTTTATTCAAGTAGGTTTTAGCCACTGCTTTCTTTCTTAGGCGTCGAGGTGGAAAATACGCCGTTGGATCGGCTTGCATTGGAGGTGGCCAAGGTATCGCGGTCATCATTGAGAACACAGCCTGAGGAGAGCACGAAGCCTGCTATGGCCCACTCCTGCTTTACTTGGCCAGGCCACAGTAAACCAGATGACTTGCAGAGCAGCTGCAAAACCAGCCATGCTCTGCCACTGAAAGCAGTTGAGTTTGACCAAGGGATGGCGAGGTAAAGATGCGGTTATCATGAATAAGCGCCCATACCAGCATAAGTTCTCTCAAATTTGCACCAAATATGATGTATTTCTGAACTAAAATCCAACTATAGAAGGCCTTAAAAGGAATCGTATCCTCGCCAAATAACCACCACTTATACCTTAGATAGTATGATTGCAAGGAAATTGAATAAATACTGCCATAACTTCAGCTAATCTTTTCCTGTCATTTCTTGTATTTTTTTTAAATTTTTAATTGACGTAAAATACACATAATATAAAATTTACCATCTTCACCATTTTTAAGTGTACAATTCAGTAGCATTAAATACATTCACATTGCTTTGCAACCATCACCACCATCCATCTCCAGAACTCTTTTCATCTTGCAAAACTGAAACTCTGTACCCATTAAACGACAACTGCCCATTCCTCCCTCCTCCCAGCCCCTGGTAACTACCATTCTGCTTTTGTCTCTATGAATTTGACTACTCTAGGTACCTCACATAAGTGGAATCATACAGGATTTGTCCTTCTGTGACTGGCTTATTTCACTTAGGATAATGTCCTCAAGGTTCATCCATGTTGTGGCATGTGTCAGAATTTCCTTCTTTTTAAGACTGAATAATATTCCATCGTATGTATATACCACATTTTGTTTATCTTTTCATCCGTCTATGGACATTTGGGTTGCTGCCACCTCTTGGCTATTGTGGATAATGCTGCTGTAACCATGGATGTAGATATATATATATATATATCTGTTCATGGCCTTGCTTTCGGTTCTCTTGGGTTTATACTAGAAGCGGGATTGCTGGATCATAGGGTAATTTTATTTTTAATATTTTGAGGAATTGCCATACTGTTTTCCATAGCAGCTACCCATTTTACACTCCCACCAACAGTGCACAAGGATTTTAATTTTTCCACATCCTTGCCAGTACTTGCTATTTTCTGTTTGTTTTTTATAGTAGCAATCCTAATAGGTGTGGGGTGACACCTCGTTGTGGTTTGAGTTGCATTTCCCTAATTATTAGTGATGTTGGGCATCTTTCCCTGTGCTTACCAGCCATTTGTATCTTTTTTATCTTAAAATATCTATTTTAAGTCCTTTTCCCATTTTTAAAATTAAGTTGTTTATTTTTTGTTGTTGAGTTATCTTGTATTGTTTTTTTAATATTGTGAAAATCGGTTTAATTTGTGTTGATTGATGTTTGTAATTCATTCTGAGATAAGTGTCCAAGGAGCAAAATTACTGGACATAGCCTTGATATTGATAAATGAGATCATATTAGATTTTTTTCCCTTAAATACAGACAGTGCTGATTATGTATTTTAACTCTTCAAATACGTCTGAGTGGGAACATAGCTTCCTTGAGGAAGATTTATGTTCGTTTTAAGGACCATATTTTTAAATGGAAAATGTGGGGCTGAGAAAAGGCTAGAAGTCAAGTCGCAGAAGGAAGCTTGTGACACCCCTTCTCTCACACCGCGGGCACTTCCCAGCAGTCAAAAAGCAACATTGCCATTAACGTCTGCTACACGGCCAACTAAAATTGGGAAATAGAGACAGTAGATAATAGCTGTTATAAATCACTGAGCTTATGCTGAAATTTAGAGAAACCTAACTGAGTGCCATCGGGGCCACAGACTGAGGCAACCAAACTTTTGCCTGGATTTCATTCCCCGTCTTCAGTTTTCCCCGTTTATCTGAATTACATCCTGTCCTTATTCCTTTTCCACGCACGCCCTTAACCCAGTGGTTCTCAACAGGGGGCAGTTTCATCCCCAGCAGACATTTGGCTATATATGGAGATGTGTTAAGTTGTCATGACTGGGGAGGGGTCTGTGTGCTACTGGCATCTAGTGGATAGAGGCCAGGGATGCTGCTAAGCATCCTATAATGCACAGGACAGCCCCCACAACAGAGAATTATCTGGCCCAAAGTGTCAAGAGTGCTGCTGTTGAAAAATACTGCTTTAACCCCAAATCCACCCATCCCCTTCTCATGTCACCTCCCCACTCTGTTTGTTTATATACATACATAGGTATACATATATATATACAGACACACACACACACATTTTTGTGTGTGTGTGAGGAAGATTAGCCCTGAGCTAACATCTGTTGCCAATCCTCCTCTTTTTGCTGAGGAAGATTGGCTATGGGCTAACATCCATGCCCATCTTCCTCTACCCTATATGGGATACTGTCACAGCACAGCTTGACGAGCGGTACGCCGGTCCGTGCCCGGGATCCGAACCCGCAAACCCCAGGCCGCTGCAGCGGAGCGCACACACTTAACTGCTACGCCACCAGGCCAGCCCCCACAAATAGTAACTTTTACCTCATTAAACTAAGTCCTCCTTCAAGTCCTTCCCTTCTCAATTCCAGTAGTTCAAGTCAGAAATCTGGGTGTTTCCTTGATTCCACCCTCTCCCTTACCCCTCATATCCAATCCATCAGCAAGTTTTATTAATTTTTTCAGAATATATCTCAAATCCATCTTCTTCTTCTCTCCACCTCTACCACTTTAGTTAGCCTAAGCCCCAGAATCTCTTGCCTGGACTACCATGATAGCCTACCTCCATTCTTGCCCCTCTTTAATCCTTCTCCAAGAAACGGCCAGGGGCATCTTTTAAAAACACAACTTATATTAGGTCATCCTCCTTTAAAGCCCTGAAACAGGTTTATAGTGCACTTGGAATAAAGTGCGGACTCCATACCCATAGTGGCCTCCTCATGGTCCCTCAGTACCTGAGGTGGTCTGGTCCCCTACTTCTCTCTAACCTCAGCTCAGCTCAGACTGTTCCTCTGGCTCCCTGTGCTTCAAACATATTGCCTTTCTTTGGGCTCCTCACATGCCATGCTCTTTCATGCTTTAGGACTGTGACAGATCTTCCTTCTGCCTGGAATGCTGTTTCCTCTGCATTCCCAGGACAAGACACTACTCGTCTTTAAAGTCTCAGATGCTCTCTCCTCAGTCAGGTGTTCTCTGTTCCCCCTAAGTTCCTCTCCCCCTGACTCTATTGTAGCACCCTGACTTTACTCTTCTGAGCTTGTATTCACTTATTAGATCGTTTACTGTCTATCTCTCTCATTAGACTGTAAGTTCCCTGAGGGCGAGGACTTCATGTACCTAGCACAGTACCTGGCACACAATAGATGTACCATAATGTTGAGGGGATGGATGGATGGATGGATGATGTTTGAAGAAATTGAAGCATGGGTGAATTGCCCAAAGTTACAGAGAAGTAGAGCAAGTAGCAAGTAGGCGCTCTCACGTACAGTTTACCTGTCCTATCTCCATAGATGATCATGGAAGTTTTTGTGTGCCTGTCCATGCACGTATGTGTGTGTGTGTGTTTTCAAGAGAGAAGGGGTGGAGAACTGGGGGAGATTCTAAAGGTGTTTGCTGCCTGGCACTAAGCATCAGTAGAAAGCAATAGAGTAACTATTGACAATTTACTTTGAACCTAATACATATGGTAGAGAAGATTTGGGAGAGAAAACCAAATGTGTCAGGTTCCACCATACAGTTTATCATCCAAACTAGGTCACTTTTGAGAAGAGGACACTATTCATAATTACCCTGGGGCAACAACTATAAATGGGCCATCCTAGGCAAACTGGGACATATAGGCACCCTACTTTCTTTTCTTTTCTTTTTTTTTTTTTTTTTCTGAGGAAGATTCGCCCTGAGCTAACATCTGTTGCTGATCTTCCTCTTTTTTTTTTTGCTGGAGGAAGATGAGCCCTGAGCAAACATCTGTGCCAATCTTCCTCTATTTTGTATGTGGCTCACCACTGCAGCATGACTGATGAGTGGTGTAGGTCCACACCTGGGATCCGAACCCGCGAACCTGGGCTGCTGCAGTGGAGCACACCAAACTTAACCAAACTTAGCCACAGGGCCAGCCCCAGGCACCCTACTTTTAATTAACCAAAGTACATTGCAATGACTCTATCTCAAGTTCAAGAGAGCTGAGCAGATAGTTGTTTGAGTATGGATTGTTGGATTTGAAGATTATAAAGTAGTTGGTCAGGGTACTGTTGGTCAGACCTGACTGAGTGCTTGACAGTTGAGCAAGTTGAGCACCTCGCTTGAAGGAGGTGATAGTTAGCCACACAGATAATCTGGGAGAAGAGAAGGACAAACAGCCAGTGCATGGCCCTACGGTAGGAGTGAGCCTGTTGTGCAAGGAGGCCATTGTGGCTGGAACAGAGTGAGCAAGATGGAGAGTGGTTGGAGATGAGTCAGAGAAGCACCCTGGGTACATATCACATAGGGCCTTATAAGCCATTGTAGGGACTTCGGCTTTTATTCTGAGTACAATAGGGAGCCACTGCAGGCTTTTGAGTAGAGGAAAGATGTCATCTGACTTACATTTGAAGGATACCCCAGTCTGTTCTATGGAAATGCACTGTAGAGGGACAAAGTTGGAAGCAGGGAGGCCAGTTAGGATGCTACTGCAGTAATCCAGGCCAAGAAATAAAAGTATCTCAGGTCTAGAGTCAGGAATAGGGTGGTAAGAACTTGTCCGATTATGGTTATATTCTGAACATAAAGCCTTGAGATTTCCTCATGGATTGGCTGTTGGTTGGTAGAAAGAGAAGGATGACTCCTGGGCATGTTTTCTTAGCCACTGAGGTGGCAGAGCTGCAGGTGGAGCAGGTTTAGGGGAAGTTCAGTAGTTCAGTTCAGACATCCAAGTGGAGATGCTGAGCAGGCACTTGGGTGAAGGAGTCTGGTATTTGGGATGGAGCTAGATCTGAAAGTCATTGGCCTGTAAGTGGGATTTGAACAAGAGTTAGTGGTCTCCATCCTAGATAGATCCAAACAAGGAAAGAACAATTTTTTCTTCTAATAACACTCTTAGGTTTTCATTTTTATCACTTAAAGAAAAATTTAAATGACAATGATATATAAAACCAAGTGTATCTATACTGCCCTTTTGAAGAGTGATCCAGTTATTGCATAGATTTTCTCCCTTTACATAATAAATGCCATCTCTTCCACTTTCATGGGGGAAAAAAGGTTTATAAATTTCTTCCAAAATCCAGTAACTTAAAATGTGGGATGAGAGCATACATTTTTAAAGTTACCCTAAAAGGAATGCCTTTGTAAATGAGAAATAATTTAAATAATTTTTGTGAAGTGAACCATGACACTCTCCTTTCCCTGTCTCTCCATCTCATTTTTGATTTTTA